TCCTGTTTGGTCTGTGATCGATTTTTCCCTCTGTTTTATTCTTTATTTTTTCGTCTAGCAGTCGGATTTAACTTTAAGACTAGGTCCTTCGATATGAGGCGAGAATTAACTCTCATGAATTAGGAAAGAAAGTAGCAACCAATGCTTAACATTACATGTGACAGTGTCGCAGTAAAAACTTGAAAACTGGTTCCATATAATTTAACGTAGTATGTATCACACGGGGGCTTTCGAAAGAAGTAAAGTAGTATTTCTGACGAGTTCATCAGATTTGAGGCGAATTAATTCCTGAACACAGAACCTGGAGGGTCAATAAAAACATTTTTCCACCCAAAGAACAGAGGTAATAAAAATCAGCTTTTCTTCTCGTGGTTTTCTACCTGAAATTTTAACATTGGCTCGTTCTAAATCAGTCTCCAATCAGTGACGTAGAAAATAGCGGGGGAGAAATCCCACTGGATTCGAAACTGGCTTTCGTGAAATTTCGTTTTCATGACGGGGTTCTTTTCATGATATGAAACAATAATTGTTTTTTAGTTACTTGTATTCAATGGTATTCACCTATAGATATGTCTTGCGGGGCTAGACGCTGTCTAAGAACACTAAAGGGCGTCTAGACAATGCATTATGGGAGGTATATCCCTTCTCTCTCTGAAAACATGCTGGAAATGCCCAGCGCTCGCGAGCTGTGCGTGCAATCATAGAGAGAAACACTTTCATTTGTTTCCTTCAAACTGATTGTTAATACGTGTGATGATAATCATTTCCTTCAATGAATTATCATAACACTACACAACATCAATCTTCGACACGAAATTTCTGTCACAGCGCAACCTAGCAGGTCCCCATTGATATGGGAATCATAGGTAAATAAGCACCTACCCGAATTCCTATATCAATTTTTGAGTATAGGATCCAAAGTCTTTTTGGCTCAGATCTGGAAATGCCTGATTATTGTGGTTATTTTATCAAAATTTTAAAAATTTTATCAATATCAATTTTATCAGAAAGAGCCCGAATAGTATAAATGACTTGCATTCAGCTCAGAAAAGTTAAATTAAACTAGCAGAAATAGATAACATAAGAGCAGAATAGATAACTAATTTGTTTCGAAGAATTCACAACAACGTTTCAGTAAAGGAATGATTCAAAGTCTCTAAATCCAAAGTTTTCATGCCACGCTGAAAGCCTAATTTGATAATAAATTGAAACTGGGAGTACAACAACCCAAAGTAATACGATAAATGTGACTACCACGATTCGTTTGCTGAATAGAAATGGACCAAGAACGGATCTTTGTCGCACTCAAGCTATGACGTATCGCACTTATTTATCGTTTCCAATTACTGCAAAATCGCTTCGTTTATAAACAAACTTTTCAAAAAGCAATTAAATGCTTATTAACCAAAACGTTTATTGAAAACCTACATTTATTACATGTACGCCTTTTTTCATGTTTTAGATTCAAGAGCCAATTTCTACACCTACAACTGGAACTTGTCTTGAGAAATGTCTTTTTGTTTGATATTTCGTGATGATTTAAAGAAGTAAAACTACCAGCCCCTTCAATTTCCTGTTTCTTGTGCGATGAAGTTTCCTCTGCATATTGAAAATACCGATACAGCTTTGTTTTATTGTAAATCTATTTAAAGAGATACTCCATTGAGATAAAAAGAGACAGGATAACCAAGCATTGAAAAGAACATAAGTTCAGCTAGAATGGAAGTGATACGAAGGAAGTTAGTTTTTGAGAAAAACCAACTTATTTGTTCAGTGAAAAGCAAAGTTTGAATAACGTTTCTTTCAATTCAAATGAGCAGCGTAGTAGAATGTTACTTTTATTTCCGTGGTATTCGTCTAACATGTTAACCATGTGACGTTTTCAAAAGCCACTGTTGACCCTGAAGACACAAACTGTCAACTGACGGGGGAGAGAAAGTAGTGACCAGAGATTAAATGTTACATATAAAAAGCATATATAATTAAACCTATTAGAATTCGTCAACCAAAGTGACTCTTCTATTCCTTATAGCTTCTAGTTTTTTATAACATTAACATATTGCCAGGAAAGGATCTAAACCGAAATGGGCCATTCACGCAAAGAATCACTTCTACAGTTGGTTGAAGTTTCACTAGGTTGACCTTGATATCACAAACGGCACAAAAGGGCAACAATTTGTTTAAAACGAATACAACTGAGAACCAGAGACGACGTGATTGCAAAAACAACCAAAAATGACAGCTTCAGCTTTCTCAATGACCCGTTTCTTCTCTTCCAAATGATGGTTAAAACTGTCAATGGGAAAGGTATCTTTTTACTTTGGAAAGCAAAGTATCGTTTGTCAGCCTAATACAGTTTGTCTAGTCGGGATTAAGCTTCGCCTCTTGATTTGATCCCCACTGACGCAGCTCGAAATGCATTATGGTCGCGGGCTAGATGGACGTACTTTTGGCTGTTGATCTTTTCTGGCAAAAATTTCACTCAAATAAGGGTGTTAGATATTTCTGTGGATTGGGCCAGCAAAACGAATACCAAAATGCTAATACAACAAGCATTTATGTACTTAACACCAAGCCTCGGGTTGGATAGCCAAAATTGTCTTAAAAATTAGTCTCTTTAAGAAATGCCTCCTTAACATAGGATCATATAACTTCATGCCTTAAGTTGAAAAGAGGAATTGTGTTGAAAAATACTTGATCTACAGTAAGCCAGTGTATCCCCCCGCACAATTTACCTCATAAAAACTTGAAATGTTAAGCCTGAAGATAAATTTCAAATTTAGCGTTAACCCCTGTAAGCTCCAAGGGCCATTTTATTTGGCTAAGACCTTGAATCAATTTGCGTAAAACAGTACCATTGATTAAAAAGATTAAAAGAGTATTTGTTAGTGTCTCTATAGTACTATCGAGCAGTAAACCCTTGTAATTGATTCTAGATCGCACTGGCGTAACTCAATACAATACAGCAAGTGTTCACTCACTCCATTGGATATCACACTATTTCTTTCTTAACACACCTGGTCTTAGAGCTGATCCAATGGAAATTGCGGGAGGAGGGGGACTGAATTGCGCAACATGTTCTCAAAGGACAGCGGGCCATATTGCGAATAGTGTGTATGTAGGGGAGGGGGAGCAATATAAATGCTCAATATCTTAAGAAACAAATCTTCATTCCAAATAGCAACGCCACTGACTTAAATCTTATTTCGTTCAAACACTCCAATGACCATATAAAAAACTGTAAATTATTGTCACCTGAGGGTACTTCAATTAGAGTGAGACCTTTTGGTCCTTGTGGAAAACAGTTTTCAAACAACCTGGGGCAGTATGTAGCGAAAACTGCAAAATTAATGGAATACCAATGACCCGGATTTAAGGACGATCATCTAGGTCTGTTCCCAGTGCAATGAAGGGGAAATAAAATTTCTCCTTTAGGGCTTTCGTACTAGGTCCATAATTCTTAAACGAATCGATTTGGTTCCAAAATAGTCAAAATACTAGATATAAAACTAACTTCCAGCAAGACCAAGTATATGGCCTGTACTCAATCAATATTTCATCATCTCTGTATCAAGAATGTATCTTTATCAGAATTTTTAGTAAATCTCTGTCGGATTTGTTGGAATCTCTAATCTCTCTACCAAAAACTTTAACTACCACTGCGTCCCTGTTGCATTAAGTTGTGATCATTGGTAGTGATAATGGCGATTATGATTATCATGAAGCTGATTGCGATTAATCATGTTTATTATGATTGATAATGATTGCTTACGATTGATCGTAGCAACATTCACCCAGAAATGAATTGCAGTGGCTGAAGTTGGGTGATTTGGAGTATCATGGCTTTAACAGTGTTAGGTCGTTAAACGTTATGGATCCCCAAAGTGCAAATTATTTGTAGATTCCAACTCTAAATATCTGAAACGGTTCCCTACACGTTTTATTAAACACTTGCCACCTTTGTTAGTTATTTGATCTCATCTTTGAGGCTGATCGCTATCAGATATTGAAAATGACAGAATGAGAACCGACCCTCGCCCCCTCCCCAAAAATGACAGAATGTAAACACACTCATCCCAATTCGAAAGTGGGGAAATCTTAAACTTCAAAAAAAAATTTCCAAAGAGAACCATCGCAAAAAAAACTTAAAACGTTAGTTTACGATCGGTTGTGTCCCCTTCATGATCGGCGAAGTTTTTGAGTGCTATTATCTACATCCTGCCACAAAAGATTTACATCGATTTGCTTCAATTTAATTGCCGAAAATTGGACTTCGAAAACTGGAAATCGATAAATTTTCAATAAGCTGATATTTTTAAAAAACCAATAAAAAGCTTAAATTACAATTTAACTATTCGGTTACCTTATAATCAGTTAAACACAGAAAGTAGATTTCTGGAATCTGCTTCAAACAAACGCATATTTTGCAAAATTTTAATGATCATATTAAAAACAGTGCCCTTTGCTCGATTTATTTTCGTGTGTTTTAAATCTCAAAGTCACAGTTTCTAAACTAATTATCCTAACAAAAAGTTCAAAACAAACGATGACCGAATGATTGCATACAATCTCTGTTAGACGAGGCCCGAAATGAAAATGTATTATTATATTGTGGAATTTGGTCGAAACTTTCAAAACCCATTGGCCTTGATCTAAGATTGATGCGGCCATTCGTGATATGTTTTGGATACATACCGACGTGTTAACAATCTGGTGGAAGGTGAATTGCTCACGTTTTACCACCGACTTATGAGTTCTTACGCTAATCTTCAGCAAAAAAGTGCAAAAGCCCTGTGTATTTGAAGATTTTTAATCAATCTTGAGGCGGTTGAATTCTAATGCAAACGAGAAACAACATCGTTTTACAAGTAGGGGACAATCTTATGCCCTGGTACATTCCCTTGAAGAAACTCACGAGATATTTGATTAAATGAAATTACAATAAAATGGGGGTAATAGAAACAGAATATCTAAGCAAATAGAGCAATTTCCAAAAATACCTGTATGATATCCGGCGTCTTGAAGAAGTTTACCAAACGTGAACCTTTCTTCTCCAGCCTGCCAATCTGCATCTGCGCATGGACCGACATTCGAATTAACCTTGTGATTATGTGAGTACTTCCCGGTAAGAATCGACGATCGAGAAGGACAGCAAATGCTGCTCGTTACAAACATGTTTGCAAATTCCGTTCCCCCTTCGCGAAGTAATCGACGAGTTTTTCTCATAACATCAGGTGAACCCAAGACAACATCCAAATCATCGGCCAGAATTAAAATAATGTTTGGTTTGTTTTCTTGCCTGTATCCCCGTTGTCTTCTTCTCCTTCCTCTACTTCTCTGTCGTCTACAATCATTAAAGTCAATAGCGAATAAAATTGCACAAACAATTAACAACTTTGATAGAAAATGCATTGTGAACCACGAACGCGAGGCGAATCTTGGTAAAAAACCTTTATGATTACTCAGACAGTTTGTATCAGTTTATCGTGAACCAAAACCGCGAACAAGTTTCCTTAATCTGCTGCCGAATCTCTTCACGCCTTATTCCGAATTATTCTGTTAATTTTGCTGTTCAATTTGGTCATTTTTCGTAGATTCAACAAGAAGAATTTCCCTACTCGTGTAGTTTTTTGCTGCTGTTTGTTAAAGATTTTCGGCTTGACTCAAGTAAAACAAATCTATCTTTATTTATGAAGATTAGGCAAGCCAATCTCTGCAAACTCGTGTCCTCGTCATTCAAAGATCATCATCCCCCTCTCTTAATTGAATCTGCAGTTAAATATCCACAATAATAGTAAAAGAGTTCCAATGACAATTCCTTTGGAGTTCTTGGATGTTTGATTTCCGATGGATTTTGTCGAGACGAAATCCAACGATTGTCTTCCGCACACCACGAGCGCTCGAATCAAATGTCAGAGATTTGAAGTTTCTGGGTTTTTATACCAAATTCCAGACCGAGTTACCCAAAACGTCACCGGAAAATCAACAGCCATTTGTCGAAGCTTCGTCAGGGCAACAAAACCCAGCTTTGTTATTTGGTTTCCAGACATGAGCGTCGAATGCGAAGCATCGTAAAACCGCCCTACAATTTCAGGGGGTTACAGCTTGGCTACGCGGTTTCTGCCAATACTTATGTTTCATGAAGACCGGAAGGTTGTCTGAAGTTAGATAATGATGCATCCTATTTTTGAATTCTGATATGATAGAAAAGAATTGGAGAACTGAAATAAAAAAAGTAGCTGGTAATGTTAATGCCATGACTAAAACGAAATTCGTTCCGTTGCCCCCGGAATAAGTCGATAGAAATCTGGTCTGAGAAATAATTGAAACTAAGAGACAAAAATTTAGAAATTATTGTGCCTGGACATGTCTAGTTTGAAAATTGTTTTCAAAAAGAGCAAAGAATCAATTTGTGATATTTACATTTTGAGGTAAAATGTACTGAAAAATACTGAAAGCTGACAAATACGTGACAGGAGAACGTTCCACCTGAAAAAGTCATTTTACAAAAAACGCCCGGTCCGGACAATTGGATTAAGCATACAAGTGAATGTGGTCTGGAAAATTGAAGATTTTCTACGAGACTTTAGATCCTTTCCCAGGGCTACAATCATAACAACAAAGTCAAAAATTGCTTTCTTCCCCCTTCTAGTAAAAGGTCGATTCCACATGAAAATATTGACAGTCCGTAATTATCTAAAATCCTTTTCAAAGTACGGCTTTGTAACATATAACACGGCTTTATTTGCCCATGTCTTCATGGGGGGAAAGGCGTCAATAAAATTGGCCGGTATTTAAAAGGTAACACCTTTTATAACCCCTTTCGTATCTCCTGGGTCCAGACGCGAAAAATTCTCTAAACAAATTCATATCTGCTAACAATAGAAAATTCGAGAAATATTGAATAGCTTTGAAGACGACGCTTAGGGAATTCTTGAATAGAAACTTTCCAAAGAGATATGAGCGATTGGCATCGGAAATAATCATTCCTAGAGTGGGCCTATATGGTCTTGTCTGTGGGTTAAGGGCTTTTGTTTCGTTCAGAGGTGAACTAGAGGTAATTATACATAAACGTAAACGCTCAAGAGACTGAAAGTTAATCTGAATACCATTTCGTGAATACTATTTGTCCCGAAATACCGTAAGATCATCAGTGCATCAGGAATAATACACAATTTGTAGGGGGAGCTGCAAATGTCTCATCCAAATATAACACACCCCCTCTCACCCTCTGCCCCACTGCTCAATTACCCCCCACTTCTCTGCAACAGGCTTGCTCCATCTGATTCTGCAAAGCACTTATTTACCAAAAAGGATAATACTTGAGAGAGATAATAAATAAGCCATTAAAAATACTTGTGGTGTAGAAGTTGAGAACTGAGAATTGCGGTAAACGTGTTAGTCACGTCTGGGCTAAACATCAAAATTCTTTTTAGTTAATTAATTGTTTGAAAACCAGCACATAAATCATTAAATTAAATTTTAAATTTTTGGTCAGTAAAAATTCTTTGCATGCTTCTGGATGATTCACTTGGCCCAAAATTTTCCGGTCTTAAAAAAAGAAAAATCGTTTTGAAGATCAATTTTGGAATGATTGAACACTCACATGAGACAATGGCGGTTGATACTGGTGGGGGAGGGGCGTATTTCTTGATGTATCCTAAATCAGCAATTTTATTACGACTTTTAAAAGCTTTACTTAATTAAACAGAGATTTTGCTGACGTCCTTGGCTGGCTAGGGTGTAGTGTTTTAAGGCAGTGATTTAAAACCGTAGCTTAAAAATGAGTTTAGAGAAACTCGTTGCAATTTTAAAGCATAAGAGCAAAAGATTTTCAAAATGAGGCAGCTTTTGCCAATGAACAGGTGACTTTCGGAGGTTCAAAGGTTTTTAAAAGAAGCCGTTTGATGGGTTACACAGTTTTCTTTGGGACAAAATGCACCAAGGAAGCATTTTAAAGCACAATCTCGTTTTTCAACGGTTGTGACACAACTGTGACAATTTTAAATTCAATGTCGAGGAAAAAAGGCGTTGATGATGACAAAAATATTCTCGTGAATTTGGAAAATATGCTGGAACAGTAGATGTGCCGGAATTCGCATAAGATTTATAGATGAAATAATGAAATATTGAGCAACAACAGCAATAAAGAAACTGTCAGTTCTCTCTCCGTTCGGGAAACAATAAAAAGTAAATAGGGAATCTCAAGCTTGGCAAATCGTGGCGAGAAATGCAATTTTGTATGGATTTAGTATTGCAAGCCGGGGCGGGTCACTACAAACTGAGCCTTCTCATGTGTCACCTATTTACGCACAGCTCGGGAATCGCATTAAGGTGATTCGGTTAAGGTGAGTAAGCGCTAGTATTCTATCTATCTTTTTAAAAACCCAAGCAAATAGAACAGTTTACCACCACCATGGATGGAATGGAAACGTATTTGACTGCAGCAGCAAATAAACGAATAGAATTTATACTAAACAAACTTGGGAAAAATTAGCAAGAGTTTGGAAAAATTAGAGGCAGAAGAAAAGATTGGGCTTTATCAACTTGAAAGCTAGTAGGGGGTGGCTGCGTTGGCGGTCCAATTTTTACTCAGAAATACCTATACTAACGCAAAGGGAAAAACCAATAGAGCGACTGTTCGGGTTTTCACGTAAATTTTCATTGCGTAGTCGATTAAGGTTTTGGTTTAGTGTAATTAAGCCTTAAAATGTATCTTGTGACTTGGTGACGCAGCTTTTCTGTTTACCATATTTTCTAATTGCTTCGATTATAATAATTACACTTTCGTTTGAGCCAACTGACGTTAATTGAATAGAGCATCGTCATTGGTAGTTTATTTTGGATTAATTAGTTTACAGTATATATATAGAACGTTGAGATTTTGTTATTGCGTGCGTGCAACTGGGGGTGGTTGTGCGAACCCAGCTGTGATTTGCTGAATGATATGAAATGTGAAAAGCTCAAATGACTTTTTCTTCAGTGTTTTCTCTGGAATACAAAGTTTAAAAAGAATCAGCAAGATAGATCCTGAGAGGTCTAAAAATCTGGTCCACCGAACCTAGATGCATTTGTGTTTCAGTGAATGAACTATGGATGAACTGAAGAAGAAGAGAAACATCAGAGGAGGACATAGAGCTTTTGCAACGCAGTTGATCAGACAGATTGAAGATAGTCTGGAAGATCAATTGAAGTTGAAGCAGCTTGAGATACAGCTAGATGAGAAATTTGAAGTCTTAGGAAAATTGGATGACGAAATTTTGGGTCTTGTAAGCGAAATTGATGAAGATGGTTTGGGATGCTCACAAGAAATTTCTGAGGCTGGAGAGATGAAGGAAAAAATAAATCTAGCGCTGCTCAAGTTGAAGAGTTTAGTGAAGAATGAGAAGCAGTTGGAATCGCAGAAGCCTAATTTAACAAGACATGGCTCAGAAGAATCAGTTTATTCTGTAGAAAGTTCAGCGTCGTCAGCAACTCGTAAAGTTCGTGCGAAGCTACCGAAGTTGGAACTGAAAAAATTTAGTGGCCGCCCCCAAGATTGGCAGGAGTTCTGGGATAGTTATAAAAGTGCGGTTTACGAAAACGAAGAGATTTCAAAGATTGACAAGTTTTCGTATTTGAAGCACTATTTGGAAGAACCTGCCAAAAAAGTAATTGCTGGACTTGCTTTGACTGAAAAAAATTATGACGTAGCTGTCGATTTGCTTGAACAGAGATTCGCGCGACCAACGACGATAAAAAGGGCACATATCAACGAGCTTCTGAATTTAGATGCGGTTTTTAATGAAAAACATGTTAAGAAGATGCGAGAACTTTATGATACTATTGAGACACACCATCGTGGATTGAAAGCCCTAGGAGTCGACGAAACATCATACTCGAACATAGTTGTACCTGTTTTAATGGACAAGGTTCCAGAGGCTGTTCGCCTGAACATGATTCGAGGAAGTAAGAATCACCAAGAATGGGATATGGAAGAAATGCTTGTGGCTTTTCGAGAAGAATTGGAGATTCGTGAACAGCATGTTTCGATTTCAATGGCTTTGGGAAATGGGACCGTTTCTGGTAGGACGTCATCAGAACGGCGAAGTGAGATGAAACCGAGGTTTCCTGGTCGAACAACAACAGCGAGTGCGTTGTTTACGAAACAAGATGGTGGATTTGTGAGAAGAAAGTTCTGTGTATTTTGTAAAGAAGATCACGAAGAAGCCGATTGTCACAACGTCAGGAACAAGGAAGAAAGGAAGGATCTTGTTTTTAAATATGGACGTTGTCTTTTGTGTTTAAAAAAGGGACACAGAGCTTATCAGTGTCATTCGAAGGAAAAATGTAAGTTGTGTAACAAACGACACCATGTTGCAATTTGTAATGTTGTTGGTAGTCAGCCTAGTGCTAACCAAGCTCGTGTCAAGACTGCTGATACTACTGTTACCACTTCTTGTGTAAGTAATATAGATTCTGGGGGGAGAGCAGTCTTGCAAACCGCCAAGGCCGTAGTTACAGGTAGCATAAGGAATGTTAAGGCACGTGTTCTTTTTGACTCAGGTAGTCAGAGGAGTTTTGTAACACGAAGTATGGTAGAAAAACTTGGTTTGACCCCATTAAGCAAGTGCGCTTAGGTATAAAGACATTCGGATCTCAAAATATGGACGAGAAGATAAGAGATGTGGTCGAGTTGGAGTTGAAAGGAGTTGAAAGTGGAGGGAAAGTGAAAATACAGGCCTTTGTTGTTAATGAAGTTTCAGAAATACGCAATGAGCATGTTGAAATATTGAAGTATGATTATAAGCATCTTACTAACTTGTGGTTTTCAGATGTTTGTAGGCACGAAGATTCCCTTATTATAGACATTTTAGTTGGAAGCGATTGGCTTTGGACGCTTCAAGATGGTCGTATAATACGAGGGGAGCCAGGAGAGCCTGTTGCCATTCATACTAAGATTGGATGGGTTGTGTCAGGGCCAATAAAGGGTAAGTTAACTGATTTGGCAGAATCTTGTTCTTCAAATTTGGTTGTAAATGGTAATGGTATAACAGTTAATTTGATGCACCAGAATAAGGAACAGGAATTAGAACAAGACATTAAAAAACTGTGGGATCTTGAGACTTTAGGAATTAAAAGGCAAGATAAGGTGCATGAAGAATTTTTGGATAATATAGAGTTTAAAGGAGATAGATACTCAGTTTGTTTGCCTTGGAAAATGGGGCACAAGCCCCTTTCTACTAATTATACTCTTAGTCTCAACAGATTGAAGGGGCAGTTGAAAAAGCTCAAGGAGAAGCCTGCAATAATGGAAACTTATGATGGGATTATAAAGCAACAAGAAAGGGATAGAATCATTGAAGAGGTTACAAGTCTTGAGCCAAGTGAGAAGCTTAGTTATCTGCCACACCATGCCGTTGTACGAAATGATGCAGAAACAACAAAGGTAAGAATAGTATATGATGCCTCTGCAAAAGATAGGAAGTCAGGTACCTCTCTAAATGAGTGTTTACATGTTGGACCACCATTAAATCCACTTTTGTTTGATATCATGATAAGATTCAGAGAAAATAAGATTGCAATAACATCTGATATCGAAAAGGCATTTTTGAATATTGAAGTGGATAAAAAGGATAGAGATTGCTTGAGGTTCTTATGGGTTGATAGTTCTTGTGATAGTGAACCAAACATTAAAGTTTACCGCTTTAATCGTGTTGTTTTCGGAGTAAATAGTTCTCCTTTTTTGTTGAATGCTGTTGTAAGACATCATTTAAGCACTTATGAAACAGCTGATCCAGAGTTCTCAGCAAAATTGTCTAGAAGTTTCTATGTAGATGACCTAGTGTTAGGATGTTATGATGTAGAAAGTGGTAAAGAACTCTATAATAAGGCAAAGAAAAGAATGTTAGAGGCAGGATTTAACTTAAGGAAATGGAAGAGTAATGATCCACAACTTGCTCAATATTTTAAGGTTATGGAAGAAACTGGGAAACATCCTGCAGATGGAGGGGGTGAATGTAGCTATGTAAAGGAAATGCTAGGGGAAGAAATTTCAGACACTAAGAGTAAAGTTTTGGGAATAACATGGGATATGTTGAAGGATAATTTGGAATTTGAGTTGACAAAAATAGAGAGCAGTGTTCCAAATTCACCTGTTACTAAGAGAACCATCTTAAGCATGATTTCCAAACTTTTTGACCCTTTAGGACTTGTGAGTCCAATTATTGTAAGTGCAAAGGTTTTGTTTCAGGAATTATGCACCTTGAAGTTAGGATGGGATGATGAAGTACCAGTAGAAATGCTCAATAAATGGAATAAATTTGTATGTGATTTAAGTTCAGTGGGTGTTATTTCCTTACCAAGATGTCTATATGAAAAAAGTACAGATAAGGTAAATAAGTGTTATTTACATGGGTTTGCAGATGCCAGTAAGAAGGCTTACTGTGCAATGGTTTATTTAGTATGCGAGACTGATACTGGAATGCATTCAAGATTGATTTGTGCTAAGACAAGGGTTGCTCCGCTTAAGGAATTAAGCATTCCAAGGTTAGAACTTATGTCAGGTCGTATTTTATCTACACTTATGGAGACTGTGTATAATGCGTTAAGCCCACAAATTAGAATAGACGGTTGTAGGTACTGGTTAGACAGTAAGACAGCATTATACTGGATAAATAATCAAGGTGAATGGAGGCAATTTGTACAACATAGGGTCAATGAGATTCTGAAAATTTCTAAAAAGGAAGACTGGGGACATTGTATTGGAGTTTGTAATCCAGCAGATTTGGGTTCTAGGGGAGTCTCTGCAACAATTTTAAGAGATAGCAGACTTTGGTGGGAAGGTCCTCATTGGTTGTCCATGGGGAAGGAATATTGGCCTAAAAGTTTCACTCTTGAGGATTCACCAGAGATTATGGAGGAAAAAAGGAAAACTGTAAATGTTACAGCAGTAATAGAACAAAACAGACTAAGTGTGACTGAAATAATAGAGGTGGATAAATTTAGCTCTTTGAAGAAATTATTGAGGGTTACAGCAAGAGTGATCCGTTTCGTCACTAACTTAAGGTCTGCAAGGGAAGGTAAGATATTGAAATTAGGGGAATTAGACTCGGAGGAAGTTTCAAGGGCAGAAAGGATTTGGATTAAGGGCTCACAAATTGACCTTAAGAAACAACCAGGGTATAATGAGATTGCATTGAAATTGGGACTTTTCGAAGAAGATAGCATTTTAAAGTGCAAGGGTCGCTTGGAAAACTCAGATTTAGCACTAGAAACTAAGTTTCCGATTATTCTACCGAATAATAATTGGTTTACGCGTTTGGTTATTGAGGATTGCCATGAAAGGGTAATGCATGAAGGTCTGAACGCAACGCTCACGGAATATAGGTCTAGATTTTGGACAACTAAAGGAAGGCAGTATGTAAAAAAGATATTGAGGGATTGCAGAAAGTGCAAAAAGGTACAAGGTAAATCGTACGGTGTACCATCAGTCGCACCTTTACCTGAATTTCGTGTTAAGGAAGTACCACCATTTACCTACATAGGTATAGATTTTGCTGGACCATTGTTTTATAAAAGCAAAATAGGTAAGATGGAAAAATGCTATATTGCACTTTACACCTGTGCTACATCAAGGGCAATACATCTTGGCCTCGTTGAAGATATGTCAGGACCGACCTTTATAAGGAGTCTTAGGCGTTTTACATCTCGTCGTGGTACGCCTTCGTTGATTAATTCAGACAACGCTAAAACTTTCAAGTTCACCAATAAGTTTCTAGATAAGCTGGGAAATAGTCGTGAAGTTTCATCATATTTGGTTGAAAAGAAAATAACATGGCGTTTCAACTTGAAAAGAAGTCCCTGGTGGGGAGGTTATTTTGAGAAATTGGTCGGAAGTGTAAAGAGGTGTTTAAGAAAGGTGCTTGGAAATGCCAAGCTAACATTTGATGAGTTGTATACCGTGCTGTTAGAAGTTGAGGCGACACTTAATTCGCGCCCCTTAACGTATATTTATGACGAAGTTGAAGTTTACCCACTTACTCCGTTTCATCTTATGTACGGTCATAGATTGTCGCAATTAGCTGATGATTTAGATATCAACGATTTAGATCTAGAGGAGAGTTCATCAGCATACTCTAAGCGATTTTGCTATTTAATTAAAAAATTAAGTCACTTTGCAGGACGCTGGAGAAGGGAATATTTAACAGAACTCAGGGAATTTCATAGAAATAACAGGAATGGAGAAATAATTGTGTCCGTCGGGGATATAGTATTGGTGCAAGAGGAACACGTCAAAAGAAATTCATGGAAAATGGGAAAAATCGTGGAACTTGTGCAAGGGAAAGACGGTGTTGTTCGGGGTGCAAAGGTAAAAGTATGTGGTAGTGGTAAGTCAGAAATTTTATCTCGACCTTTGCAAAAACTTTTTCCTTTTGAACTTGCAAGAATGAACGAAATCGCAGGAAAAAGTACGGACATCGAGAGGAAAGAGAACGAAGTACGGGAACAGAATGCTTGTGAATTTTCACCTATTGTAATTTGTCCTAATCGCGTCGTAGAACCCCAGCGTAGGAAATCTAAACGCGCAGCAGGTCAGGATTCGCAGTGGAAAACCCGTTTGATGCTTGACTCTTAACGAGTCAAGGAGGGGAGTGTGTTCGGGTTTTCACGTAAATTTTCATTGCGTAGTCGATTAAGGTTTTGGTTTAGTGTAATTAAGCCTTAAAATGTATCTTGTGACTTGGTGACGCAGCTTTTCTGTTTACCATATTTTCTAATTGCTTCGATTATAATAATTACACTTTCGTTTGAGCCAACTGACGTTAATTGAATAGAGCATCGTCATTGGTAGTTTATTTTGGATTAATTAGTTTACAGTATATATATAGAACGTTGAGATTTTGTTATTGCGTGCAACTGGGGGTGGTTGTGCGAACCCAGCTGTGATTTGCTGAATGATATGAAATGTGAAAAGCTCAAATGACTTTTTCTTCAGTGTTTTCTCTGGAATACAAAGTTTAAAAAGAATCAGCAAGATAGATCCTGAGAGGTCTAAAAAGCGACTCAGTAGGGATAAAAATATCCCCGTGTCGAAGTTTACTTTAGAAAACAATGGGAAGCCAAGGCATTTTACAGAAATTATTGTTTGCTTGAAGCCCAAATTTGCAAGGAACCCCGCAAGGAGTGCCATTAAAGTACATTATAGCAGAAAAAACGACCTAATATTAGTCATAGAAAAAGACCATTACGCGAAGAACAGGCAATGTTTGGGAATATTTAATCTTATAGTGACTTGGCATCAACCAGACCCCCTCTGGAAAGAACATTGCAGGCTTTGAAAAAAGGAATGCAGTACAATGTAACAAACGGCACGGTTCTTATAGATGACAACGCATAAAGACGATGTTTGCATAGACACGTCTTTTATTTACGTCTGCAACGGTATTGCCAAGGCCAGATGACTAAGCCGGATAAGAAAACATGAACATCATCACAACACATTGTAATACAAACACGACCAAACGCACTCGATTGATCTTATCAGATAAGCATTTATCAAAAAGGTGCTGTTTTCGAGCTTGTTATTGCTTGCTGTGCTGCCTAAAATGCCAGTTTAATACGCATATGGCAAGCAACAGCTTCTAGGAGGATATTTCTGATAGGGTAAGGGGGCATAAAAAGTAGATCAGTAGGTATCTTCCGAGTGACCATGGTATACTTGCTATCACAATCAAAGTCTCATCAAAAACAAGAAAGGTTTAGAACACATTGACTGTATCTTTCAATAAAAGTCGAATTTGTGATTCGTGCGAAGAAGACGTATAGCTCATAGGTTCCTCCTGTTGAATGGTTATCTGCGTAGTAATGACAAACCATACTACTGCCAAGTGCATACCAGTAGCCAAAACTAAGCCGAAAACAGGGTTAAAAACGGAAATGACAAGCCAGCTTCAGAAAGAGGAGATCGTATTGTACAGGAGCGGTTGCTTGATGACGTTTCGTTTTACTTGGAGTCGTCTCCGGAGCCATTAATCTCCAGGAAAGTATGGGCAATCTGACGATTGGCGTCGCATTACAGAGCACCAGGCATGTCATAATGTAAGGTTATTCAGCTTTAGCAACAAATCCGGATACAAGAAAAAACAAACGGCCCTTTTAATACTTAAGGGGCTAGAAAAACAGGAGGTACAAACATTTACAGAAGACTAATGTTGTTTTTTACTGAGAAGGCAGGCCCTCAAAACGTCAATAATCAATCCCGGGATAAGATTGATAGCATAAGAATTAAGGATTGTTTCAATCACAAATAAGGTTACTTCCTAGACGATTGGATTCGCCATACTTTACGCTGTAAATGTATAAACTTTTACATACATGTATGCCGGGCGATTTTAAAGAAAATTTTCAGTAACCGTTGCTCTACCTCTGAAGATTATTTGTACAGGCATTACAACAAAAACGCAAATAATCCTAACAAAAAGTTGCAGATAACAAAATCTAGAAGACGTTAAAGTGGGAGCCCTGCTTATATGCCTTCTTCTGCTGTATACGGTCCCATATTTCATATCATTAACACCCTGATCCCTGTTTGAATGGCCTAAAGACTAGTATCCCACACAGCTAGCAGATTGGACTTGAAGAAAATTGTACCAGTTACCAAAATTTACAGCCTGCCTGCATCAAAATACCACTGTGTACAGCCTCTGAAAGTATCGGCCACAAAATAACATGATACCTTTTTATGAAAAGATCGTTATCAATGAAGGTCAAATGGTCACGAAGGACACATACATCAAATAAACAAGGCATCATGCGGCACAATTCAATGCTAAGAACAATTTATTTCAATATCCTAAGCTAAATACGAAAACATTTTTATCAACAATCATTACATACAATCTTTCTGCGGAAATACAAGAAACAGTGTTCCAACTTAAAAGCAAAAGGAGAATTTTCTTCTTGTTTATAAATATAGAAAGGTGCCTAGACCTTGGACCCTTAGGCCCATTAAATGAATGCTAAGAGATGTTTTTCGAACTGAGCTATGTTATTATTTACAGATCTGTTGTAAATATGTTTTTTATGTGTTTTATGTGTAATATGTTTTTGTGTTTTGGATACACGGTTATTGCACAGAACATGGACACAATATATTCAATCAAAAGTCTTCAGGCAAAAATTTTTGAGAAAAATTCCAGGACAGCAATGAGAGGAAAATTCAGGCCGAGTAATTTGCATGGCTGAAAAACAGTCGAACCCCCTTCCTCTTAACGAAAGTCCTTCTTAAGAAACTGATTATAATTACTTGACCACTTATGTAAACTTTGAAGAAGTACCCTCGTGAGAGAACGGCTGTAAACGGTTATACACTTCTCTAATCAGTTATTTAACGGCTTAACTGTTGGTTTCTCAAGTAGTTGATTGATAAGATCCATTTCTCTACGCAAGCAAACCACAACTTGGGAGACTTTGGCTGAAATAACGAGGTTGCAACAGACAACGCCCGATTTTTAGGACAACTGCCAATCTCTTCTTATGGTCGTTAGAATAAGTCGATTGCATCGAAGATCAGGGCTTCTTTATAAAGCACAAGGCTAAATAAAGAACTTCAAACACGCGGTTTTCTTCAGTAAGCTGAATTTTATAGAAGAAATTTTGTTGAAGAATTTGCGATTGGTATTGTTTACATTTGGGAAGAAAGGGGGAGATAACAGTCCATATTAAGAAACAGTGAACGATAAGCTAAAAGCTTAGTGTCAAATGCCAAGAAAACAAAAAACTAAAAACTACTTTACTCCTTTGTTACCGAGACATAGCTAAGACATAGCTAACCACCATGGTAAGTCGGAAAGGCAAGCAACGCAAGTAAAGAATCAATGACATGATTAGCAACTATCTGAAATGAAGCCTAAGAGTGTTAACACTTTCCAGGGCTATGATTGGCACAGCGGCGAGAGAGGCCACGCTATTTAGTGTATGCTCTCGCTCTTAGCCAATCAAGATTTGAACGAGCCAAAGGTATGATCAGCTGATTGAATTAAGTAAGCAAATATCATATTATCTACAGATACGTAAAAAATCACTTATAAACTAGCCAAGTAATCAAGAGACAAACTTATTCATATACTTGGCCATTTGCTTACATTTTTTCAACTTCTTTCTCGCTCACATTCTTACTAACTTACTTATTTCATAATGAAGTAATAAACTGAACAATTATCTAGCCAATAAATTAAATAAAGAATAAGAAATTGCGTTATCTTATCTTAAAGAACAAGGAAAAGAAAGTGATTTGGGAAATAATTACCTGCTAATTTTAATATATATCAATCTTTTAGCAATAAAAATATCCTATTCTTTGTTTATAATCTTTATCAGCCTTCCTTTACAAAGTAAAGTAACGATAATCAAATCGAAAATATTATTATTAAACTTGCTAGCATACTCAAATCCGCATTTGTTCCTATTTCTAAATAATTGTAAAGCTTCCAAACGAGGAGCTTTGAAGAAAGTAACCTAAAACCTGACAAACTTTTCATTCATCCGAAACTAGGTGCGCTGATGTTTCGCTGTTTTTAACTCTGTCTGCATTGACGTTGGCAACAGAGGTGTGCAAATCAACACGAGCAAAGATTTCTTGCTGGATCGATTTGTAATTAATTTTTGAGCGCTTTAAAGAACACGAGTTAAAGTTTTAGTCGAATAAAATTATTCATTACACGATAGAAAGACCCATCAAAGGCTCTTCCCACGCCCTCTTTAAGCCAGCGTATGCACGGGTCATCGGGTGACATGGCCAAGACTGGAGTAATCCCATGTCGTTAAGAAAATAATATACTTTACAAGCAGGTTAGCTTGCCGTATTCCATGCAAGAACGGGGCTTAAATTACAAATCTTTCATTAAGGCTCTCTTTCAAGAATGAATCGGGTGTATTAAATGTAACATCCAAGCAGAAGGCCCCGTGAAAGAAAAAACATGTTGATTCTTGGATACCTGTGTGATAAAACGATATGAGAGTGGATTAACTGGACATGTTGCATTTAGAGGAATGTCCACTGGTCTTTTAAGCAAGGGATACACTCATAGCCTTTAGAAATAATGCTGAAAGTTAAGACAAGATCATAAATAATATCTAGGCCTAGACTTTACATTGGTTTTAGTTTTTCTCATAACTTTAAATGTACAGAAATGTTACTCAAAAAACAAGCAGCAATAAGTCTTTCTTTCAGAATCGTTACTCGGTCTGTCAATGGTAAAAAAAGAAACTGCGAGAAGGTTGAGTTCTTCCAACGAACTTCCAAGAGATATACCTTCATGGATTCTGCTGCATTTTTAAATCAAATTTAAAACAACACTTTTTCATGTAAGATTAGATGATAATACTAAAAACAGCATGCACTTGGTTGAAACTATTGACCCTGGCGAGAAGCATTGGCCGTAGAGTACGACATAATCGAGCCGCGAGGAACCCAAAAGTAGTGAAAACTTGGTCAGTATCGAATGGCACGGCAAGACATATATGAAACAGGACAGTATGGTGAAGGAGATTACTTTCAGGGCCTAATTATCTGCCACATTAGCTGGGCTCGAATACAATGAAAAGTTTGGTCTTTCATAAAACTTTATCGAGAAA